TTTTTATTCCATCAATTCTTGGTGCCTTGTTCTTTGCCAATTCTTTCAATGCACTTTGGACTTCCTCCCTGAGTATCATTGGCTCTTATTCATATGGTACCTCTTGAAATGGTTGAACATTAACAATTTCCTTTTGATACAATGATTCTGTGTATTCCTTCCATCTTCTCTTGATGCATTCTGCATCATTCAATAATTTGCTCAGAGAATCTTTCAGTAACGAAAGTCGAGGCTTTAATTTTTTCTTCAGTTCCCCCAGCTTGAGAAATGCTGACCATGTTCTTCCCTTTTGGTCTTCTAGTTCCAAATCTTTGCATATTTTATTATAGCACCTGGTTTTATCTTCTTGAGCTGATCTTTGAAATTTTCTATTCAGCTCTTGGACCTCTTCAATTCTTCTATTTGCTTTAGCTTCTCTATGCTGGAGAGCAAGTTTCAGAGTCTCCTCTGACATCCATTTTGACCTTTTCCTTCTTTCTTGTCTTCTTAATGACTTTTTGCTCTCTTAATGTATGATGTTCTTGATGTCATCCCACAACTCTTCTGGTCTTCGGTCTTTAGTGTTTAATGCATGGAAAATGGGCAACCCAGATTTATGGGTGAGAATTGTGAAGAGATTCTTTTCAGATCATTACTGGGAGAGAGCTTTCTGTTGAAATGTGATGCAGCAAAGAATAATTCCTCGGTCTCTAAAACTGTCCAAAAGAGCCAAAACATCAGAGGAGTAATTGAATTAAATGGTCTTGAAGGTGCTTCCAGCCCTGAGATAACATAATCCTGGCTCATTTTAATTGTTGATATGCTATGTTATGGACAAGGGCACTTTAAAAGTAAAATTAAAGATTGATATAAATTTAAATCTGACATTTAGACATTTATTGCATAATAAGTTTTTAAAGTGTTGAGTTTTAGACATTATGGTTGTATAATTATTTTCCAATATTATAGTTTAAGAATTTTTTTTTTTTAATCACAAACAGATCAGATAGATTGGAATAATGGGAAATAATGATGAATAAATTAGGGCTCTTCAAATTTTCTCACTCTTAATTGTAAACTTTATTTAGTTTCAAAATAAATGTCGTTTTAAAAATTACTACCTTTTTAAAATGAGGAGTTTTAACTTCAGATAATGAAGGCAATTCAAATAGGAATTTTGGTCATTGAATTTTGTGTTCTGGTTTTCTGAGAGCCACTGGGGAGAAGCTTACTGACTTTTCTTTTATATTTTCACTGTAACTTTTAAAGCCAAATTAGTTTATTTGAAAGAGTACTTTTTATTTGAACATGGGAAATGTGGAAAGGCTTTATGATATTCTAGTACATCTGTAAGGACGAAACTAATTTCTAAAGTTCCCTGAGCCAACATTTTTTAAAGAAATTCCAAAATAGAAAAGTTTTAAACTTCTTAAAAACTTGTTATTTATAAATTAGAAGCCTATTTAGCAGTTATCTAAAAAGGTTCATATCAATGGATTCAAGCATGGTGACAGTAGTGAGGTTGGCCCAGTATTGGGCAGTGTTTCGCTGTGCATAAGGTCGCTATGAGTTGGTACCAACTCGATGGCATCTAACAACAACAACAACAAAAAGGTACATCATTTATTAGATTTATTTGCTAATTGAATTTACAAAGTATGCTTTTTTTTGTCTGTACACACTGTGGATTATGAAATGAAACAAATTGTTTGAAGGATAATAAGCAGCATTTTTATGATACCAAATATGTTCTTCACTTAATTATCTATTAAAATCGATTTACTTAAATCTAGCTTAGTTCCTGTCTATTACTTTTGATTGTTGTTTTTTTAAGTGCCTTCAAGTCAGTTCCAATTTGTAGTAGCCCTGTATAGGGTTTCAGAAGACTGGCTAATGAGTTTGAACTGCCAACCTCGAGGTTCAAACTGACCTTATGGTCCAGCATTTATTCTACAGTGCCACACCAGGAATCCATTACTTTGGATAGGATCAAATTTATTTACAAAGCTTGCAGAAAATTCTGGGTACTGTACACTGAAATATCGTTAGTAGAGTCTGTGAACAAAGACAAATTTAAGGAAATGTTTAAATGATGAACTCTTAAGAAAAACATTTTATAAAATTTTAAACATTTTTATTGTGAAAATATGCATAACAAAGCATATGCTATCTCAACAATTTTCACATCTATTATTCAGTAACATTGATTATATCCTTCAAATTTTGCAACAATTCTCACTATCTTTTTATATTTAATTTAACCAGAATAACTTGAGTTAGTAATAATGTTGTGAAATATTTTAGTAAATAATCTCATTTAGTCCTATATAAGATCACTATACTTGGAATTGGAGTCCTCATGTGGAGTTTTAGGTCAATTTGAACAGCAGGGTTCAAAACAACAACAAAATTTGAATGATAGTATATTTTGGATGATAATGTGCTATTGAAATAGTCATTTTGCTTAAAATAATCCTAAGCATGTTACTTAACTTTCTTAGTTATGCATTTTAAAATCTGTAATTTGGAGTTATTTGATTTGATAATCCCTGATATTATCTCCAAATTTTATTTTAGGCTATACCAATAGAAAATGTCATTCTTAGAAAACTCCTGTTGTATTTTATTTATATGACCTCTAGGGGGCACCAGAAGATCTCTTTGTAAGCATTGCCTGGTAGATTCTAACAGCTATTGATCTTGCTTTTAAACTTAACAGGTGTGTGGAGAAATGCGCTATCAGTTGAATAAAGCCAAAATGGAGAAAGATGAGGCAGAAAAGGAGCACAGAGAGTACAGAACAAAAACTAAAAGGGATCTTGAAATGAAAGATCAGGTAAGAGATGACAAAAGATGACTAGAGCAATTAAACACATAGTAACGGTCTTTCTGAAGTTGATGTGGTTTTAGTCCTAATTGTTTCTTTTACATTGTATCTAATGGAATCATCCAGTTTCATTTATAGTTGCCTAAAATTATCACCTAAAATGGTGAGAATACAACTGCATGCATATACAAATCCAATCTGACAGGTCATAAATATACATTTGGATATGTTTATCTATTACTTACAAAGAAATTAAAAAGTTCTAATGCACATTTTGAACTGAAAATATACGTCCATAAACTTCTTGAAGGATGCCAACTTGAATCCAATTTAAAATGAAAAAGTTTAAAATTTCTGAGATGAGATGGGTTGATATATAAATATGTCAATCAAATTGATTGTTGGCAGAGTGAAACCAGTTTTAACTAAGATAACCATGAATACTTTTGCTCAGAAAGCCTTAATATAGTGAAATTATAAATGTTAGGGGGAAATGTAGCTGACTTGAATTTCAGTTTAAGCAGATGTTTTATGTTATATCTTTACTGAGATCATTAGATACTCCAGTTTTAATTGACAACACGGATAACATTTTTAGAGAGGCAATTTTAATAAACTGACTTTTGATTTATTATTTTTACATGACAGTACAGACACTGAAGGCTCATTTTTTATAGTCAGAACAAATAAGTGGTTTGATCTTTTCTTATTAAAATAAGATTGAATTCCCATCATCAACATTTTAAATAAATTACAATTTTAAAATATGTACCCCCAAGTAAATTTATTTCAAATATATTTCTAGCTCAAGGATTTTTTAAAATCATTTTTAGCATATTTTCCTTCAACGTAATGAGCATAATTACATAAAAAAAATGTGAAACCAATGAGAAAAATATTCAACGTGAAAGTGATAATGAAATTTAATACAAAACATCATTCAAGTTGTAACTGAAATCCCAGCCACTTAATTACAATCCTGGAAATTAAAATTCTGCTTTTGTACCACTGTATTCAGTGTTACAATAAGTTTTTATCTTTCAGAAGATTCTTTCATTGTTAGCATGTATGAACAGGGAAATTGTTTTATTTGATCCAGTTGGGGGCGTACCTGGTAATGAAATTGAAAATCCTTTCTACTGGACTCAGGCCTACGACTACCAAATCAAACACAGAAATTTTCTCTTTTGATGTAATAGTTTTTTAAATCAAAGATATCATATTAGCATGCTCACTAGTATTATATTCCTTTTGTTAATATTCTACTACATTTTTCAAGCACAGTATTTTGGACTAACTAAAACAATATAGTAAACACAAGTGTCTGAATTATTTAAAATACAATTATAATTTTCTGGTGAGAAAAACACTCTAGGAGCAATAGCACTGGTAAAGAAATAACCTGGTTAGAAGTCCTAGCAATATGTTTTAAGCACTGTATTTCATTGTAATTAACCAGTAATAATGTGGAAGCTAAAGTTGCAGGATTTTAAAAAGAGCAGCTTTCCATTGTAAAACTGTCCTAACCAGTAATGAAGCATTAGCAGTTTCCATAATGGTTCTTACTGTTAAGTTTTTACATGGAAATGTGCCTTTTTGGTTCATAGCATTAGGAATAAAGTCCCTGCACAGTTACAAGATGTGATGTGCTTGTTGCTATTTTTCATGAACAGAAAGTGAGGAAATCTTAAAGGTACTTTTTGTAACTATTTTGTATTGAACAGACAGTTTCAGAAAAGAAACTAGTGGTGTCTTATTCCATGGATGATTTGGACTACCAAAGCAGCAATTGTTCTTTGGTCTTTCAGCCATGACCTGACCTTCTGTCTGTAAGACCAAAGAGTTACATTGCTTGGCCACCATCTGTACTCAAGAGAAAATTTACATTTAACTTTAAAAACTGGGCATGTTCAGCATTTATCTGAGATATGTAATATAAACAATACAAAGTGTGTTTAAATTTGCTTTATATATCATACAGTTCAGAATAACAGGAAAGATAGCTCCAGGTTTACAAACCAAGTTCCTTTCATAATATAGTCATTGTATCTGTATTCTACTTAATCTGACCACTTGATACATTTTTAAAGTGGGAAACTGTGAGATTGGAATGTGATGAGAACAAGAGCTTTTTTTGATGTGGCTAAGATAGGGCAAATGGTTGGCCACCAAGATCATTTTCCTTGTGACCTGAGCCATGACTCGGGCATAATTAGAAGGAAAGGTTAGGAGAGTGACAATGACAGTCTATTCCTCCCACTTTCCCTTTTTCTGTCTTTATATTGTGTCAGGAACCCATGGGTGAATTATCCTTCCCATCAACTCTTTTGTATCTCTTCAGCTGCAAGAACTTCTGTCAACCTCAGAGGCTACTTATTGCACACATAAAAAGATGCTTGGTGTGGAGGAGAATGAGTGAGCTCTCTGCACTGATTTGTATTAGAAAAATTTGTAGGCAACAGGTATACACACACATGTGCATTCAAGATATATATACATGTACATATAAATGCATGCATACACACACACATATAAACATACTCTGCTAGGGAAATTTAAAGATGGAAGGAAAAAGGGAATGTTGTAATGAACTTCCACATTTCAGTCACCTGGGTCCATCACTTCCTAATCTTATTCCATCTGTGTTTCATTTTCTTTCTGTCTACTTTGTTGTCTTTGGCTTCATTGTTTCCTTCATCATCTTTTTCTTCTTCATATTCCTCCTCTTCTGCTGCTGCTGAGGTTTTAAAAGCAATCCTCAGACATTATCTTGTTTAACTCATAAGTACTTCAATATTCACCTGTAAAGGAAATGTTTTACCTAAGCACCCTCATTATCACACCTAACAATATTAACTATAATTCTTTAATCTCATATAATGCCGAGCCCATATTCAAATTGCCTTGACTGCCTCAAAAATATTTGTTTTATAGATGGTTACTCAAATCAAGAAATCAGATATACTTTTGTATGTTAGAATACTACTTGTTTAGTAGGAAATAGAGGGGACTCTCAGTAAAAAATGTAACTTTATTTGCGTGTTGTTGTCTTATTGAATCTGATACATAATATTTTTATTGTGCTCTATGTTTATAAGATGCCTCAGTCATTCTAAAGAATAATAATCCTGTAGCAAACTAGTTGGGAGAAATGGTTATCCTGCAGCATTCCTGATTATTTCATATATCCAGAAAGCAGCCTCTTAGAGTCTGAGACCTAAATCATTAATTTTAGAGTTAGGAACGCTGCAAGAAGCGCTGCTTTACCATTGCATTACAAGGGTTAGCTGACTTTGAACTGAGTGATGAGTGAGTGGAATTTTCTTTGTCAAGCTCCATCTTGTTAGACATATCTCAAAAAATGATTCTTTTTATCCCTTAACCTTTGATCAGGACCCAGAGCAAAAAGAAAGTGCAAGCCTCTTGTTCAAAAAGTCAAAACAAAAAAAGTGCCATTACAGATACTGAAATACAAGCTTTTTCTTTTATTCAGCAACCTTTCTTTTGACCTGTCATGGTGTTTTCTGTTTGTTATTGACTATATTGCTGGCTTCCTCCAGCACCGGGATACTCATGGGCCAGTATAGACCTCCCAGGTGCCTGGGGGCCTGCCCATTGGGTTAGACATGCACATGTGACCCACTGGCTTCCTCTAGGTTTTCTTCCTGATAGCTACTGGACCTATACGCACTGTGACCCAAATTGGGGTGGGGAATGCCAAAACCTCCAGAGTCAGTCTCCCCTTCCCAAAACTTCCCCACCAAGAGATTTTACTGAAACATGCTTGGTACCTGTAACAACGCACAGAATAGGATGTAGTGCTTCAACCCTGGGCACAGATGCTTATCAATCACATGCCTTATCCTGAGATGGCAGGGTGTGCATGCCCAGGGTCCCGTCCTCGAGGGGCAAAAAAGGGGCAGAAAACATAGTCCCTTCTCTTCACTCCCACTAGCAACATGACCTGATCATGACCTTGGGTGGAGGGTGGCAATGGTCACAGGGTGGGGGCAGAAAGAAGGAAGCTCAGTGGGGAAGAGGTGTTTGAATACTGCCCCAAACTGCAGGTAGGCAGTGGAGAAGCAATACCAAGCTCCCAGAGAGTGTTTATTGTTCCATCAGACTTTACTTACAAAACATATTATTACAAGATATAATTATCAAAAATTTCAAGTTTCCAACCACAGAGCACTAAACTGCAAGCACAGGACCCATCTGAACATGAAACACTATGTGACTGAGCTAATCACCTGTCCCTGAGGCTGCCCTGGCTGAAGGTACAGGCAAACAGAGATTTGATATGCTAATGCACATACATTGTGGTGCCATGAAATGCTTAATGTCCACCAAATGACCTCTTCCTGATAGGTAGGGTAAGAGAAGGTGGATTATATGTTCAGCTGAGATTGTTAACAGGGCTAATTGTTATTTTGAAAACCTGGACTATTTTATGAGCCCTCTCAGAAGCAGGAGTGGGGAATGCTCACTACTATCAGAGAGGAGTCCAGAGTAGAGCATATCCTTTGGGTCCTGAGCTCCCTACGCATTGAATCTCTTTGACCCAGAGACAGATAGCCATGACACTGGAGGAGTGGCAGATGAACAGTAGTAGTAAAACCAAGAACCAGAACATGAAACAGAGTGCTGGGCTTTCCAGCCCAAAGACAAGTAAAGCTGAGTGACTGTGGACACAAAGGGGTACCTTCAGGTACTTAATTGTGGGTGGGCTAGGGCTAGGTTTGCTAATCCAAGAAGCTAGAGCTGAGTGCCTTCGGACTGAGGTTTCAGGTGGAGTGGTGTGTTCTGTGGGCATTTATCAGCAGCCCTAAAAGAGCGTTGTAACGTTGGCCGAGCAGAGAGAGACCTGGTTGGCATCACTGAGTAGAGGCTTTTCTGACAAGAAAAACTGCCCTGAACATTTCTGACCCTAAATTGTAACCTGTTAACATCCCTAATAAACCCCATAACTCTGAGTATGGTGTCTGAGTCCCCAATGAATTATTGAACCC